ACCGATGAACCACTGCACCCTCTAACTCGGGTTTGATTCCTATAATTAGACCAATTGCACCTCCACTCTTCATTTGACTTCCATTCAGCCAGGAAGGAGGAAAAAAAATAGGAGAAATAGAGATGAAAAAGCTTCACGCTGCTGCAGCCAGGACCTGGCACGGTGGAGCAGCATGAGTTGTCACTGAGTGGTCATCCCTAAATTTAGATCTCATTTGGCAGTGTCATGGTTGGTGGTAAGACACTGAGAGGTGAGGTTGATCCCTGTCCGTCTGCTCGGTGACCGAATTTTTTGAATCATCCACGTGTCTTTGCAAAAATATTTGGTTCTAGACGTTCTGTGGCGTGATGACTACTCGCAGGCTTGGGTTAAAATGAAGGATTATACGTATATCTTTGTTGATGATATCATATAATAGTGACCCAGTTTGTATATTGGTTATGATCTGTTGTGTCGTTCTCCAATTAAAAAAAATAAGGGTGTCTCTTTTTTTTTTTTTTTTTTCTTTTTTAGAAAGAGTTGTGGGCACGAGCATCAACCGTGAAAAACTCTCAGAAACTCCATCAACAGAAAATCCAAAGAGGTAAAAAGCTGATCGATCGTTCTGCAGACAGTTAAACATGCCAGAGAGGAAAGCAACCGTCTCTCAGCCATAAAATTGTCCTTCAGATTTTTAAACCAACTCCCAAGTGAGTAGGATTCATGAGGAATAATGCAAACTGGCCTCTTTTTTCCTCTGGATTTGTATGCACTGAATGTCTTCAATATTACAGTATGTTGAGCCTGTACCTGACAGTAAATTCAAACACTGCATTTTATCACCAAATAATGTTTTCTTCAGTAAATGGACGGACGCGGGAACCTTCCGGCTCTGTCACTTATCTGGTTGGGAGCCCCGGAGACTACCTGCTGTCTCTTTTGTCTCTGCTGCGGCATTTTTTGTCTGACCGACTCGTCTGATGAAAAATGTCAGACATGGCCGCCTCCTGCACCCACTCATCTGTGGCCCTGACCCTATCAACCGTGACCCAGCCGGCGCAACCAATTCCCCGTTTTCTATCAGGTTTATTTTGGCAGTTACGATGAGGGATGAGGTTTTTTTTTTTTTGTTTTGTTTTGTTTACCAACTACAGTTTCTACTGCCCTGCCTGCTTACCAATTGTTCCAGTGGCTGCTTTTGCAGAGCTTGAATGAGCTTTAAGGGTGGAGCAGTATGGGACAGCAGGAAGGGGGTTCATATTTCCACATTTCCGCCTTGCTGGATTAAGTCAATTGGGTCGGGTAATGCGCATCCTGAGCGAACATTGACCTGCTTCTCAACAACAAAAAAAAACAAACCACCAGCTGTCGAGAGAAGGAGGCGATGGATACACGGAGGAGTTAAAAAAAACAACATTTGCACAGGATTATCATCGGAAGCAAACAGCTTTATGGGATTGTGAACTCCGTTATATATATGATTCACTTTGGTTTGTTTGAGTTTTGACTTCTTCAGAGACAGTAATCGTATGCCAAAGTTGGATACACACACACACACACACACACACACACACACACACACACACACACACACACACTCACTCACACACTCACAGGCATACACACAGTTATAAAGAGTGAAATGTGCGCAGTGTTCAAGAGGACACACAATGGTACAAAATTGCAAACTGAATCACATTTTTTTGGCACACAGAATCAATCACTAATATTTCCTGCTAGAACAATGGGGAAAACCAATCATGCCTTTCTAGATGGGGGTGAATTATTATTATTCACTGTCTCATCAGGACTGCACGCCACTATCACAGAAAAGATTCATCACAGCCCCGCTTTTTTTTTTTTTCTTTTTCTTTTTTTTTTTGCTTCTCTCGGATATCTCGGCTCTCCATTCAGACGTGGAGGGAGGCAAAGAAGAAGAAGAATAAGAAAAGGGTGAAAAGAAGTGTAGAAGAAGAAAGCATGAAAAGAAAGAGATTAAGCGAGAAAGGCTGTGTATATTTAGATATATATAAAAAGCATAATATCGGTTATCGCTACAAAGGGCCAAGGTCTGGAGTTTCACAGTCTTCCATGTACAACAGGCGCAGTAACAGTGCTGACGCTTTGTCTCTCTGCTGTGATGACGCCTGCCGCTCGGCACCGTGGGAGCAGAGGGAAAGCAGAGTCCACCCTGTAATGTATTCTGTGTATGTGTGTGTGTGTGTGTGTGTGTGTGTGTGTGTGTGTGTGTGTGTGTGTGTGTGTAGGTAGGTGACACATTTTAATGCTCTGATGACTTCTTAAATCCTGTTCCACAGCCTCAGTTTGGTCTCAGGTTTGCAGTCATGTGACCCAGCAGGCAGCAGGGGTTCCACAGCATGAGGCAAAAATATCCCCTCCTATAGACCCCCATATCTTGCGCTCAGCTGGCGTAGTTGTTTCATCTGGCTTTTGATTTAACACAGTGGTGCCCCCCCCCCCCCACTTTCCTTTTATTTTTTATACATTTTACCCAAAATGAGTGCAGCTCTGCTCGACCTGGCAATAAAATGTGTCACGCTGAAATTCAGTGTCTTGTTCTCCCACCAGATTGTCATGTGCACCTCTTCCTCTTATATTTACAAGCTTTAAAATGGACATTTAACACTTTTTTTTTTTTTTTTTTCCCCCCCATCGCCTGTTTGCTTGTGCTTCAGTTGGACCCGCACACACATTTCTAAGACACAGCTGCATTTACACGTACGCCAAATAAAATGCCTCTCTGACCCCCTCCAGAGATGGTTTAAGCAACAGTTACAATCTGATCACTTCAAAATGCATCTTAATCGCGTCGTGTAAAGAGGGTCTTACGGATGGAAGCAACTCTTTAGATAACAAGGTTAAAATGATAACAGTGGCTGCAGTTGCTAATAAGTACCACATCATTACAAAACTAGCAAATAGGCTCAGAGGAGCCTTTGGAAGATTTGGCCTATTTGTCAGACTTGAGGATTTATTTTCATGTGTGAGTCATGTGACCCAGTTATTCTTTTTTTTTTTCTTTTCGTGCTGGTTGTGATGTTTTTTTTTTTTTCTCAGCCAGAGCTTGAGTACAGTGAGTGATCTAATCAAGTCTAGTTTCTTGTGGCAGTGTTTTCCATTACCACCCCAAAAAAAAAAAAAATGGTGGTATTTTTAGTCCCACTTTTCACGATAGTTTCTTGCTTTTGTCTAAAACTAGAGAAGTAGAAAACATTGTATGCAAAATTTGTGCTGAAATTAAATGTTGAGAAGCAACAGCTGACATTTGGTTCACTTAATGAAATATTTTCAGCATATAGTTGCTCAATTGGCCCATATCTTACGTGTGCTGATATATAATGTATAAAACATATATTGTAAAGGAGCTAGTTGTAAGTTTTACTATTGCTACATAGCCAGCGTTAGCATTCATAGCTGTTTATTTACCAGTCTAGAAGAAACGTTGCAAGTTCAGCATCGAACTTCTTTCCTTTACTCGTCAGAAACCTATTGTTTTTGCTTCTATTTCTATCACTTGTTTTCTTCTACTGAAGTTAGCTAGCTAACCAGCTAGCTCCGGGTCTGGCCGGACCATCTCGTCACTTTCCGATACAGAGTCACTGTAGCGTCCGGGCTGTTATGACTTCAATGTATTAGAAACAAAATACTGGCTGAAGCTCTCGGCAAGACTGGTGAGTAAACAGCTGTTAATGCTAACAGTAGCTATGTAACAATAGCAAAACTTTACAAGCTCCTTTATTCAAATATGTCATTTTATGATGAAGGCCGTTCCTACACAGCTACATTAAAACAGTTTTGTTTTTTTTTGTACATTTTTTTAAAGGAATACTTCAACATTTTGGTGCCTGACAACCCCACTGTGACAGTAAGACTCCAGGAATTAAGCGAAGAAGATATAGCATGTTAATTAGTGAGCTTTAAAAAGGTGCTGGTAGGCTTGAGTTTGTTGCTGTACCACTGGACAGAGCCAGGCTAGCTTTTTCCAGTCTTTGTGCTAAGCTAACTGGCTGCTGGCTGTCGCTTCATATGTGTCTAGTGTAGAGAACGTGAGAGAGGCATCGTTCTCCTCATCTAAGTCTCCGCAATAAAACACATAAGCATATTTTCCAAATCATGAAACCACTTCTTCAACTATTTTTTTAAATTTTAAGTTAGTGAAATTGCATGTACCCTGTCATGATAAAGTGGGTCACTGTGACTCAGCTGCCATTTCCAAATGTTTAATTTTTTGGGGTCTTATAAGAGAGTTTTAGATACGGCAATGGCCTAAATTCGCTTACAAGAATATCATGTTGGGGAAGCACTGAACATAATTTTAAACAGTCTAATGAAAAGATAAGAAATATACATTAATTAAATAAATTAGCATCCATCTGTAACTTAAATCTAAAATAATTGGTATCATTCTTCAAAACCCAGTCAATCTCGTATGTGGTGTTTCTACAGTGTATATCTGTATGTGTGAAAACATGTGTCTGCATGTGCACATTTCTGAATGTGTGCATCTATGAGTGTGTGTGTGTGTGTGTATGTGTATGAGAATGATGCTCCGAGGAGCCTCTGCTAGCTGCAGCATCATCCAGATGCTGCCTCCCTGCCTCCTTATCCCTCCCCTCGGCCAGCTGTCACCACACAGACGAGATCAGAACAGAACAATGCCAGTGCGACAGCCTCCATTCTCTGTGCCGGAGCCTTGTGGAAAAAGGGCGACCTTCAGCTGCAGAGCTTATGAAGGCGCTTCTGAATAGCCACAGTACAAAGCCCTGCATGTCTGCAGTCCAAAGCCCAGCGCCCTCATCGTGTGTGTCTGTTTCAAAGCCCTCGGGAGATTTGGGGGTGAATCATAAGGGAACGTTATTCCTTCCAAACCATTCTACGCTTTGTCGGGCAGATGAGCAGAACTGGGTAAACTTGTTGTATTTCTCCTTTCCCATGATACTTTGCTGCTTTACACTTGATCCCTTATATTGCTTCTCAGGTTTGGTTCGTACAATAAAGCCAATCCATTTTTATTATCAGCAGTTTTCCCACCTCCTCATCACGTGTGTGTAGTCGCACTGTAATGCTCAGATACTGTTATCGTTACAGAGTAGATATTATCCGTGAGACGATACTCTAAAATCACCACAAGTGTACAGACATCCCTGCTCTATAGGCGCTTTGTTGTTATGGTTACAGATGCCATCCTCTTGACAACAAAGGTCTGTTCAGTGATTTCATCGGTGAACTCTCTGTTTGTGAAATGAGGACCACTCAGACACAGTGTCACTGTCCCACCACATTCAGCAGTACACCAACGGGCCTCAGCTTCTTCACACAAACACACACACAGATCTGCACTTTGGACCACCCAAGGGAGTTGGTGTCTCCACGCAGAGATTACTTGTGCCACCGCTCCACATGCATCCTTTCACCCTCTTTTTCTCCCTTTCTTCTTCTCTCACACAGTCACTTCTGTCTTGCTGTTGGTCACAAAGTAGGGCTGTGTGGGGAGGAAGTGTTGGCTGTGGCTTTGGCCTCTGCTGCCGTGGAGCTGGTTCGGCTCCAGCACGGTACACTGAGGCCTCTTGTGCCCGTAGGTCTTCCTCCGGCCCACCGTCTCAGTCCCGTCCCAACCCTTCAGCCCCATCCCCATCCCGTGCCCGGCCGCAATTGTGTTGGAACTGTATGCCAATGGGCGGCCCATTGTAGCTGAGCTGGAGCCAATAGTGGTCTCGGCAGCCCTGGAGATGCCCAGGGACGTGCCACCTGGCATGGTCCCCGCCATGTGTGCCAGGGAGGTAGCCCCGAGTCCTGGCGGCTTGCTACTATGGCTGTGAGCGTGAGCGTGAGAGCTGTGAGAGCTGTGAGAGCTGTGGGCAGCGTGGCCATGACTGCCTTTGGGTTTCTGGCCGTTCGGCTTAAGTCCCCCGACTCCTCCCACGCCAGCTATGTGCCGTTCTGTCGGTAGCGTTGAGACGGAGGAGATGCTGGGCATCTCTGTGACGTAGGTGGCCACCGGCTCTGGAGTCAGTGGACCCAGAGAAGTCATAGTCATGGAGGTCATCGGAGTGAGGGAAGTCATGGGTGTCATTGAGGTCATGGGTGTCATTGAGGTCATGGGTGTCATAGACGTCATTTGGGTCATTGAAGTCATCTGGGTGATGGTCGGGTTCATGGGATTGGAGGACATTGGGTTCGAAGCCATGGGATTGGTGGTCATCGGAGGGGTCATCGACGACATGTTGCCCATAGAGGGTCTGGAGTTGCCCATCGGCTGCAGAGGAAGGCCGCCCTTTGTTGGCAGCTCCACCATCAGCCGACGCTTGTTGTAGAGTTCGCCGTTGTACTTGGCAGCTGGAGAGAGAGAGAGAGAGAGAGAGACAAAGACAGCTAATGAAAATGTTAAGTGGACACGAAAGAGCTTGTAAAGAGCACGGCTGAAATCTTGGGTCAAATGTTGAAATCTAAATGAATTAGCTTCCTCCAATTTGGCCGTTTGCTCTTTTTAGACTGTCAGCTGTGGAAAAACAATATCCTCAGCTCATCGTTTTGTGCTTGTGTGGAACAGAAAGAAGAATAAAACTGTTATAGAGAGTGACTCATAAAATAAGACTTTCAGCAGTTTGCATATCAGCTGCAAACTAAGACATGCACACACACACAGACAGAAGTTTGGATAGAAAACATCCCATCCCTTTTTCCTCCCACAAGGTCGTATAACAAACCCCATATACTTTTGACTTTGTTAGTCAGCCTCCCCTGATCAAACTGACCAACCAGGGGTGTCAGGGCTACTGTAAACGCCTGCATATGGAGGCCTGTTGTGCCACCGGAGGAGTGAGATCAAAAGGAGCGCCCAGAATGTCTCCTCCACCTCGCCTTCGTCCTCCCTTTTTATAAAAGCCAAGAAAACATCTCATTTCTATGTGGTGGGATGGTGCTCGCTATGATAAAAAGAGGAAGGAGATCTGGGAGAAAGATGTGGCGGCCATTACGACATGCACTGTGGCGGCCACTTCTCCAACATGGTGCAGGATATTTTGAGAAGACTTTGTTACTGCTCCTTCTAGGGAAGGGCAGTTAGGTAGAAGGCTTTCTGATGCACACATATAGATCTGCTTTTGATTACCTTGGCTACTGAATGTTTCATTGTGTTGCAGGAGGTGGAAATTGGACTTCCACTTATTCACAATAATTTGCCTTTAACGCATATAAACAAATTATTTCATTAGCTTTGACTTTACATTTGATCCGAGGACATTGTTATCATTATTATTCGGTCGGGTTCTGTACTGCTGCTCTTTTCGGCTGTGGATGTTTGTAAATGAATCAAATTAACTGATAGGACATTATGCTGCTGCCAGTGTTTTGGTTCTGTCTTTGTTAGGGTCTGTCTGTTTTGGATGTGGTCTAATTATTCTCAGATCTATTCGGTCGGGTCCAAAATTTCGCACCTTTTAAAGACCTCTAACGTGTCACAGTGTTTGTATATGTTTGTGTATGGTTCCACTTGCCACGTATCTAGTTGCGTAGGTTCACCGACACCCTCCCTCAAGAGATGAATACTCGTGCGTGGCTTTGTAACCCTGCGAGTTTATGAGAGACATGCGCAGCGTAGTGTCGTTGAGCTCGGCACTCTGCACAAACGTCGTGAATTCATATCAAAGTGTACCCCACATGAACGTGTTAGCTTTGTGACTGTTTGAAATGCATCCTCAAAGTGTAACGACTGGATGTGACGCATTTCCATCAGACCGGAGAGTCGCAGAAAAGCATGCACGTACAAAGTCTCACCCTACAGACACCAGCATGTACCCGTCTACATAAATGCAGACTGAATCAACACACAGACGTTTCAGGCTCACTGGTTGAAGCGTCTTCTCAGATCTTCTGTAAACCTGTGTGTGTGTGTGTTTGTGTTTGTGTTTGTGTTTGCGGGTGTGTGTCTTCAGCCTCGGAGCAATCAGCTTTAATGCCTCACATTCATCCCTCCCTCTGTCAGTTATTGTCACCGAGCTACAGTCTCTCTTATCGCTGCATAATGTGACCCCCTTTTTTTTTTTTTCCCCCGTCGGATTCACATTCAAAGTCAAGTCATTACTTTTTAGCCCTTGTTGCCTCCACGTCGTCAAAGATAAAGTTAACACACTCAGTGAGTTTGCTTTGCCACTGTAGCTATAAATCTCGTTTATCGCTCCGTGAACGGGGGGTTGCAGGAATAGCGGAGAGTGGGGCGGCAGGGGGGGGGCTGCGGGTGGAGGGGAGAGGGCAGTGCCTCACCCGCCGAGTTGCCGCTAGACCGCCCCTGGGGATCAAACTTGCTCAGGCGACAGGTGAATCAATCCGGCGGCAGTCAGCTCAACGGTGCACACATCCAGCGGCGTACGTGAGTGGAAATGGAAAACACCGCTGTTACGCAGTATGGGCTCTGCATGCCTCTGCCTGAGAAAGGCCAGCACCCCACAGAGACTAACACACATCATGCATCACCAAAGAAAATCAAGCACTGCTTCTGCGAAGTCCCTCAGCACCAACAACACAAAAGACTTTATTAGGGTAAGACCAGTGTGTCAATCTGCTTCTTATTAGACCATCAGCTCGTCTTCTGCTCAGGTGATGGACGACTTATTAGCTCCCTCTCCTCTTTAAAACCTCCAATGAATTTCTTTTTACATTTTACAATATCTTTCTGCAAAATCCGACTGAATTTATTCCTTATATATATATTTTTTTGTATTTACTATCAGTAGGTGGATCTCCCCGTCATAGTGCTGCCACCCCAGCAAACAACATCCATTAGTCTGAGCTTCACTGGAGTTTTATTGTCTCATGATGAAGTAAATTCTGCCTGTGAGGCTTTTTCACTCTGAAAAAATGTAAACTCTTTACAACTGAATGGTTGTATTCCAAGAAAATAGTTATTCAATGTTGGCACAGGATGTGAGATTTAATCTGAACCTGCTCCTGTGTAGAGGATCAGCTGCTACCGCCACTGTGGAAACACAGCGATGTCAGGCAAAGTGGTTGAACCACTGGAAATAGTAGCAAATAAAATTAAAGCCACAGGTGTAAACTGCTTGTTATTAAACACTTAGGAATGTGACATTTCAGCCGCCCTCGCAGGGAGGCTCTGGGAATGACAATGTTGGTCTCTCGGGTTGATGCACCATTTTGGTCCACTCTGAAATATCAACTATTAGGTTGACTGACATGAAATTTTCAACAAGACATTTGTGAGACCCAAAGGATGGATTCTACCGGCTGGTGATCCCCTGACGTTTCCTTTGAGGACGCCACCGTGAGGTTGACATTTTTTGCTTTTTAGTAAAAACCTAGCGTGGCTGTCGACCCTCAGACGCCAGGAAGATGCAAAAAAAGAAGAAGAAAGAAAACTGCAATTCATTCCCCAATTACTGCGGATCAGCTTTTCAGACCATCTGTGGAAAACTGATTTATTAACAGGCAGGTAGGAACATGCAGTTCGTCTCTTTAGGGTTTATGGCAGTTGTCAGATGTAGCAGAGCAGATTGTATTAGACGTGGGCCATAATTGGTCATTTGTACTTGTAGGAGAATGCGTCCTCCTCCGGGCTGAGAGACACACATCTGCATCCAGGGACATGTATTAGTTGGTTTTCGCCTTGGTTTCAGTTTGAATTCGATAAAGTGACCTTATATAGATGCACAAGGGGGAGACAGTGGAGATGGCTATTGATTGACAGAAGTGCGGCTTTATCAGCTGGACGGTAGCCCGTCGGGGCCGGCGGCGGAGGCAATTAAAGAAAAAGGAAAAAAGGCAGTTGGGACAACGGTGTTGATCGTAGACGCGGTTCTATATTCCATGGGGTCAACAGGCGGTGAAAGCCCCGGAGTGTGTGGCAGCTGAGAAGAAAAGAAAAGAAAAGAAAAGAAAAGAAAAGTCCATTTATGCTGCTCAAGATTAACAGAGCTCACACAAAGGTGACTTCAAAACCACCGCTGGCATTTTGGTTTTGTTTGCTGTCATTTATCCCCCCCACCCCCCCACTCCCCCACTCCCCCCCTCTTTCTTCACACCCACAAACATTTTCCAGAGCTTGTGAGTGACGCTCCCATCAGTGGACTCACAGTAATGGTTGCCTCATGGAATCCCAGGCTGCTGTGCTCTATATCTGTGGACAGGTTTCCAATCATTTCATTGAATACCACTTGTGGAATGGAAATCTGTCAGTCAAGTGGTGGGGGTGGTGTGGGGGGGGGGGGGGGCTGCCTCCCTTCAATTACAGAAACAGAATCAGATATGAGCTGCTATAAGGGAGGATCGAGATTAGCAGCCCAATGATTCTTTAAGGAGCGATACGGAGCGGGTGAAGACGAGTCAGTGTGTGTGTGTGTGTGTGTGTGTGTGTGTCGGGGGGGGGGGCAAAAGAAGGGGAAAGGTGATGGGAAATGCAGAGGAGAGGGCAGGAGGCGGATGATAAAGGCGACAATATGAAAGACGGAAGAAGAGAAGATGGGAAGTTGGGAGAGGTGGGAGGGAGCAGTAGAAAAGGTGAGAGGAAATGAAGGAGACAGAGAAGTGGAGAGGGAGGGACTGAAGGAGGGAAATGATGAGGGAGAGAGAAACGAGCCGAGACATTAAAGGTTAGAGGAGCAAATGGGGGTGGGGGGGGGATGGGGGGGTGGTCCAGGAGAGGCGGTGAAGGGAGGACGAGGGCCATTTTAGATATAAAGAAGCAGACATGAAGAAGTGGCTTCACAAGGAGCTGAAGAGGAGGAAGGGAAGAATATTGACAGACGTGTGCTAAAAGGGTTGAATACGTTTTCTACATTGCCGCCTGGATTCAATTCAGTCTTTTGCAAACCCAAATAGTCACATTTGCCCCCATTGTAATTGAAGCATACTCGTAGTTTTGCACTTTTTATCCCATTAACTTGAAATTGTGTACACTTAAGATTACTTCCAACCGTTTGCAACCGTCATTCTGCTGCGTTTTAGACTGATTTCATGCTCTCCAGGCTGACGCTCTTTCAGAACATGTCAGTGCAGAATAATAATCAGTCACAGGGAACATTTTTTATCAGATAGTTATTCAGGAGTGAGAAAAACTCCTCTTTTGTTCATGCGAACAATAAAACATTGGAATTTGAATTTTAAACAGCTCACACTCACAGATTTAGCTTGTTGTTATCGAGGGCTCACAGTTGGATGGTGAGACCATGTCGTTGCCACCATATAGAACTAGTTTAATACAGAGAACAGGGAATTATCAGGGGCGTCATGGAATTCATCACCAAGTTTCTTGATGTAAGAAAATAGTAAAATATGTTTTAAAAAATTTCAATTTAGTTTTCTTTTAAATTAATGAAATGATCAAATAGAGCTGTTGTATGTTTTAGCTTTTTGAGTTGGAGTCGTGCGTCATAGGGGGGTTGTGTTGTGTATGGCGGATCTTATTGAGCGAGTATGATATGGATGTGTATTGACGCGTCTGCCGTCATTGTCGTATTGTTTATAAATGAATGAGGACCCCAGGAGGAGAAGCCACTGTCACAATACAGCGGCTTTACGGGGATCTAAAAGAAAGAAAACGAAATGTCGATGTCATGATTCCCTTCAGGATCGATTCTCAATTCTCAAAACTCTTGATTCCAAAAGTGTGAAGAAAGGGGGCCAGTAGTTTCAGGCTCTTAACTCCAGTATCAGTCCGCTGAAGTGCAGTGTGAAACATAACTGCCAGTTATTTAGCTTGATGAAGGTCGTCGAACAGCAAACAGCAGAGGAAGGGTGTGTGGGAATTATCTTTACGATTATATTCCGACCATAGTTGACTGGAAGTTTTGTAAAAGTTTTCTGTACGTATAATATGTTTCCTGATTTGGATTATATATATAATCAATTTTAAAACATGACAATTTGTAGTAGTTAAAAAATTCAAGTAATTTAGCTTGAATTTCCTTTTTTCATCATCATCAACCAGTAAGAGATTTTCCCATATTTCCCAAAATGCCACACTCAGCCCCCAGAGCTTGTGCTGCTTCCATCTGTTGGTGTTATGTGCGGTGAGATGAAAGGAAAGCGGCAGCCCGACATCAGAGAGTGTGTGGTTTTTCCAGTTGAGAACCAGTGCGGTTGCATCACTTACTCAAACTGCAGCGTGTCTCTTGGCCGCACTGCCACTCTGATCTGTCCAATCTCCTCTCCGGTGAACAAATTGGCATCTCTGCCTCTCCTATCATGGATTCCTTCTCTCTTTTGCCGAATACCGCTCGCAAAATGTTTTGCGCTGGGAAATAATCCCTTTGTTCTCCAGCCTTCATGAGTCTGAGACCAAGACATCCTCTGTTGGCATTTCAGGTAACTGGACAATTTTCTGCAATCAGTCACAGTTGTAGCTGTGCTCAAAATGCTGGCCAGTTATCAGGGAGTTCTAAAAATACACCAGCAAACAAAGAGTCCCGGGTTCAGGGTGACTGTGTTGATCGACGTCTTCGTTGATGTTCCTTTTTAAGGTTAAAAACTGATTTGTCCACTTTCACTTATTATTCATCTGTGTGTCTGTTTTCAATTTTGCTGGCAGTTACACTGCTACCGTGATTGCACAACATCCTCTCGCTTCCCGGGGCACTAAGCAGCATAAATAAAGCGCGATCTATTACTGTAACATGCCCACCGGTGAGTTAGGGGCCGGTTACAGAGGACGATCACACCTATATTTGTCGGCTGAATCATATATTTTACTTTTTCTGCTGTTGGGCAAGCAGACTTTTCATAGACGCGATCCGTCTGATTATTATTCTAATAAAGGGCACAAATGCAGACTAATGGCATCTTGTGGCTGTATTTGTAGCTAATATGTGGTGTGAGTGGGCTGAGTTCTGAGTCAAGTGAGGGCGCCGCACCTTTCCAGCATAAACAAGACGCACACACTGAAAAATTCACCAGTCAATCTCAAATTAATTCAGGTTATGAAATAGTGATGCCGCTGCCAATAGCATACGGGCATGGTGAGGCAAATTCAAATCAGCTGCACTGGCAAATGACCTCATTGAATTCGGTGGCATGCATTAAGCTGTCAAACAGCTTGATAAGCAGGCTGTTTCTGTTTTACACTGGCTCCAGTTTGGTTAATCAATAACACCTGTCAAATCAGCCCACGGGACTGCTGGAGACTGCTTACATGCATCATTCCTGGAGACCTCTGGGGGAAAAAATCATCTGCTGCCCTCTGTGTGTTTGGATGGCAAAACATTTAGGGACCGTACGTAAATTATTAGGGAGGGGCGGTGGTGTGAGGAAAAAAGAGGGAGGGTTATGTATTTTTAATTTCTGCTGAAGGGAGGGAGGGGATGATCGTTAGTTTTTTCTTCCCCCAGATGAATAATTTAGTTCATCTGTTTCATGAGAGATGTACTCAAAAAAAAAAAAAGAAAAAAAAAAGCTTTTTGTGTGACATGGACAAGAAATTCATAATTAAAGTGACTATAATAGAACAGTAGACGTGGAACTTTATAGTTAGTTATAGTTATGGATGGGGCTTAATGCCAATAAAAAAAAAAGTTAAATGAGGTTCAGCCCCCCCAATAATGTTTGATACACTCCCTTAGAAAACTATTTAATAAAAAAAAAGGCAAGTAATGAATAAATCACAACCCCAGTTCTCCATTTCTCAAGATCAAGAAGTTCTCACTGCCGACTCTGGATACATCCGATCATGACTCCGCTAACAAGAAAAGGGGGGAAGCCCCGAGACTCGCTGTGACGACGATGCACCCTCTCCGCACGCCGCTGTAGTCACAGCCAGCGGCAACAGCTCGTAAAAAAATCAGTTGCACAACATCAAGTACGCTGCCGCTCTCGAACTGTAAAAATGTTTTCTGTTATTCCTCGTGTGAAACTTTAAAGATGATAAGATAATAAGAAGCTTGACAGATACTCACCCACAGCCTTCAGGGAGGCGTACTTGTTGAGATCCTTGTTTTGCTGCTGCTGTTGCTGCTGCTGCTGATGCTGCTGCTGCTGCTGCTGCTGCTGTTGATGATGCTGCTGTTCGTAGACGTGAGCCAGCTGACTGAGCGCAGGGTAAGGGTGCTGCTGGCCCATGTTCGGGCCCGGTCCCACATTGTTGTTGATCTGGCCGCCTTCTGTGGACAAGGACATGCGACAGGACGAGGTTACAAATCAGGTTAAGTGTCGACGGTAATACCTCTCGTTCACACTTTCCAGCACCCACTCACATAACCACCTCTGTTTAATACTGTATTATTATCTGCTGCGGTAGAATCCGTCCACACGCGTGAACACGTGAACATTTATTCATTGCCATCAGCGGATGAACTCTTGCCATCTTTCTACAGCTGCAGCCTAATGTATGCCATGCTGCCTAATACACATTTGGACAGGATCCAGTGTGTATACAGTATGTACACTGATTAGCTGCATCTGCTCAGTATTACATGAGATTTTACCAGTACATTCACCGTGCATGCCAGTACATTAGTGTCATCATTAGAGCTGAAATTCTCATGTCCCAGAATACAAATATTATGAATATTACTGAGCTCATTTTTTATTTTTTTTATGTGCATTTGACTTATCAACCTAAATATGGAAGTATAAGTGGAAGTAAATGGTGTCAGTCCTCACTATCTGACGTGCTTTATAGACATATCCTCTAAACTGTGTCTGTAGTGAGAGCTCAGTCTAGACACATCATTTCATTTAAAAACAAACAAAAAAAAAATCTTATTACCAGGATTTTTCACCATAAAGGAAGTTTGAAGTTTAAAAGCCCAACCGTGTCTTTGTCACTCGACAAGAGCTTCGGCCATTGTTGTGTTTACAAGACGACGTTATAATACAGCTACAGTGAGTCACTAATGGAAAGTGATGAGACGGGGCCGCGGCTAGCTGGTTAGCGTGCTAACTTCAGCAGAAGAATAGACGCGATGGAGACAAGAGTTAACGTTGACGTTGCTTTCCACCTCTGGACACAGCTGTTGGTGAGTAAAGGAATAAAGTTTGATGCTGACTGGTATCTAAATAGCTGTCAATGCTAACGCTATGTAGCAATAGTAAAACCTACAAATAGCTCCTTTTTAAAACTTCAACTTTGAAGTAGAAAAAACAAAAAAAAAACTAAATGCCAACCAAGCAGAATTTGATCCTTTTGTTTTTCAGCATATCCTCTTAACAGTAGTTCTATGGGACTTTTATAGTGCTGACCTGAGGTTATTACTGCTGCAGCAGCACGACAGAATAATCAGTCACATTCAGCCTCTTCAGCCTGCTGCTGTTTTGGGGACAATCGTTCTTGGACATAGTTTTCAGTTTCAGTTTCAGCTTGAAAAGTAATTGGGGGTAAATGTTTACTACAGTTTACTACACTACTGTCAATTTTCTTATAATTTATTTTTCGCTAACTGTTCAGACTGCTTCCTTGTTTTGATGCACTCATGATGTGCATATGTATTTCAATATCAAGTTATTATATATTTAAGGTGCATATTCAACTAGTTAAAATACCTTTTTTTATGTAGTTAACCACTGAAAGTACAAACAATTTCCGGCCTCAAAAGGAAAGAAATTTGACCTGTGAAGAAGTAGGCATGTTTCTTTTTTGTCTTATACTTATATGTTCTAATTTTGTATCAGATGTAAATTGTCAATTTGATCATTTTACTACAGCTAATTAATTTACATTAAGCAGTGTGTACTACTCAAACTCCATAGGTTAGCTTTGCTGTAGTTCAACTTCCTCCAAAGTAAAGTAATGAGTAGCAAAACATTTTCCCAACTCTGGCCCTGAGTAGGAATCAGTGATACAGTTGAGTGAGATACATCTTTTTACTTTTACTCTCTAGTAGTATGTGAATTTGCCTTTTGGGGCTTTAAATGGTAACATGGCTTTTAACACGTATGAATTTGTGCTCCAAAATCATTGCAGCACCAACAGCCAGAAATCCAGTGGCTTAAAATTGCTGTCTCTGAACTGAGTCATTAGTAAAACTTGTTTTTGATTTTGATTTACAACAATAGTGCAGTCGGCTTTATGTTCCGATTGTGATTAGCAGGTAATCATCAGTCGTCCACACCCCAGCACATTTCAAAAGTAGCCTTCTCAGCCACGGTCGTAATTGATTAGTGAATGGATCAGCTGTCCTCCACACACCAGACGGCAGGATAACGCGTCTGCGAATGTAGAGATGGAAATGAAGGGCGGCGCCAGCAGCTGCACAGCGTTGCACGAGAGCGGCGGGGAACTGCTCTCGAGCAGAACGGCACAGTCCGACTTTTACAGCTCGGCCTCGTCCTTAAGATATGTGTGGGAATTCACAGGACGCTCTCTCCAGCATTGTTCTCTCGCCGCACTGGACCCCGACAGATAATTGCAAATTCCTGTTACTGAAGGCAAAGGTATCCTTGCTAAGTGAATACATTCTGCTAAAAGCCCGAGTACTGCCACTTGATAATTTGAAAAAGTAAAGTAAAATTTAAGAGAGAGAGAGAGAGAGAGAGAGGGGAAAAGGTGAAGTATGAAATAGGGAGGAGGATGAGGATGCATAAACAATGACCAGTGGAGAAATACAGGAAATATGTGAAGCACAGAGACAAAATCATTAACACGGAAAGCAAAAGAAAAGAAGACAGACACACAATAAAAGATGGACAATCTCAACACAGTCCTATAAATACAAACTCTCCCTCTCCTCCTCCTCCTTTGTCCTCTTAAACAGTAGGTGCTCAAACAGATGGCCTTTTGTTGCTCCGCAGCAAACAGAAGAGGAAGTTGTGTGGCCGCAACCCGACAATATTGATTTCCTCCACCATTTTCTCCCTGTTTTCATCTCAGCGGTGCGTTGTTGAGCCGTGAGGTGCGCTCAAAGGCCGTAAACCTCCTCAGCTCAACTGTCAAGGCAAAGCAAGTTGTGTTGTTACTAATTAATCACTTAGTCCTGGCACTGACTCAAACCACACACACACACACACACACACACACACACTGACTGACAAGGTAGACAGGGAGTAGAGACAATTAAAAAAAGCATCAGAGTGAGAAACAGTGTGAGGCCGTGTAGAAGAAAGAATAAGAGACCAGATTCCCCGATGTGATGAAATGTCCCATGGTGCTCGGTGAAAAGTGAAAGACAAAGACATGTGATGTAAGTTCATATGGACAACTGGAGAGAGAGAAAAAAAAAAAGCCAAATCCAAAGATGGAAATTGGATGACTGGAAAACGCAATCTTTTTTTTTTTCCCCCGACCATTTTATTGGATTTGAATGCCACTCGAACAGTGTCTCTCTTGATGCACTTCTTGGGTAAACACTTTGTGATGTACTGACTCACTGACGGCAACATGAATTTAAGTAAATTGAAACTGAGGCCGAGTGAGTGGGGGGGGGGGTCGGGCGTACGCTGTGGAGGGTAGAGAGGAGAAAAGACAATCATGGGTAGAAGGAATAAGGAGGAAATGGAGCTGAAGGCATTGACCCATTGTGACGCCGAAACCCCGTCTCTCTCGTGAGTTTAATAGAATTTCTCAAAAGAAAAACATTCAGTCTAGTGACGACGAAAGCCACCGCTTTATCTTTCATACGCCAAACTGTGGTGTGGTTGAGGAACACAAGCGCAGGTGCACCTCCGTCTTTTCAGCGAGTCCGTGAACAGTTTACAGATGAAGAGGAGACTACCTCACATCTGTAATTTATAATATAATAATTATCACTGTATGCAAACGATCCTTATGCTGTTAATGAATAAACCCGCTGGTGAGACAGAGTTCAGTCGTCAGACACCGCAGACACAATGCATTAAACTGGACACATCTGCTCCGCCAAGTTGGATGGCTGTTGGCTGTGACAAGCTGGCAAATCAAATCACTGTCTCACTGAGCCACAAATAAACATCTGGTTACAACCGCGGCACATTTGGTCTTAAGCAATAGTGCGACATTTGGGCAATTACACTTATTCCCTGCGTGACGGAGGGTCAGATGAGGAGACGCAGGCCACTTACATGTCTGCACTGTAAACATGAGGCTACAGCAAGAAGAGACGGTTAGCTTAGCTTAGCTTAGCATAGCGTAAAGACAGGAGATGGGGAAACGGCTAGCATGGCTCTGTTCAAAGGTAACAGCATTCATCTACCGGTACCTCTAAAGCTCTTCTTTGTTTAATCCATACCTTTGTAAAGATCCAGTCTTTGAGAGACATAAGAGTGATGATGATGATGATGATGACGCTGCTAATTGTCTCTTGAGAAGCATTTTTCTGGTCAGTTCACATCCATTGCTTCTAAGATCCAAGACAAGAATTAAAACAGTGTACTGCTTCTCTCCTTGAATCACAGTAACAGTCCCCTGTAGTCGCCTCCGGTATTGACTCTGGAAAACAGTCTGCAATCTTTTCTCCTCGCTCCTGTTTGCTTACAAAGTACTATAATTATTTAAGCTTCATAAACATGCTCAGCAGCTTGACAAGCGTGACGGGAATTTGAGCCAAAATATGGATAATCGCCCACCTTGCCTCGTACAGTCTTGAGAGGTTGAATAAAGAAAAATCCAATTATTATACTACTTCAATCCTCTTGTTCTACTCTTCTACTTTAATCTGATCTCAGTCAAAACCCTCTCGTCACTGCGTTTTCATCAAAGTGAAAAAGATCACACACACACACACACGCACACACACACGCACACACACACACACTCACTCCGCGGCTCAGGGTCAAAACAAACATGGCACTCTGGATGACATCATCACCGTATGAACCCATTCGTCTGGACGACGGACAGCTGTCACCAGGATGCCCTGTCTGGAGGACGGGGGGGGGGGTTTGCCGCTATGGCAACAGTGTGGCACCCGTCTGAACCAAAACAAACTGATCCTCTAAGGTCACGTCTGAGAAAAGAAAGGAAAATAAATTGCTAAATCTACAATTTAAAAGAAAAAAAATCCAATGAGTTAAATTAAGAAATTAAAAATTAAATTAGGAAAGAAACAGAAGCAATCGGACATAGAAATTGCTCAGTAGAGCTCAACAGAAACCTCCACCGAAGTCTAATCACCTCAGTTCTTTAGTGCTGTCACAGCCAAGCAGTCCTGGATAGCTGACAGCTGCATAAAGTGCTGGGTGAAAGGTC